AACAACCCAAACCAAATGCTCCCCAAACTTAGGAATCAATGGAACACTCACTCCCTTTCTCTTCCCATCCCTGGAGGCCATGGCCAGCCCAGCCCGGTGAGACTGCAGAGGCAAGATCAGGGGCCAAGGGGTTGCTGGCATATGTAAGGAACTAAGTGAACATAAGGGACATTGGTCGCACAGTGGATGACGTGTTGAGCTGCTAACCAAAAGGTTAGTGGTTCAAACCTACTAGTCACTTCATGGGAGAAAGATGAGGCAGTCTACTTCTGTAACAATTTACTGCCTTGAAACCCTATGGAGCAGTTCTACTATGTCCTTCAGGGTCACTGGGAGTTGGGACCCCTTCAGTCACAGTGGGTCCAGGGGTGTGTCTACACAGCAGTCTGGCAGCTTCACATACACACAGTTCTCAGCAGAGTCACCTGAAAGACAGGGAAGAATGCCACCCTCACAGTAATGAGCACATCAAGCGCTCTGATTTCGTCTTTCAGTACTTTCCTTTCTACAAGGCACCAGGTCCGGAGTGACGAACGTGGGTGGGGAATTAGATGAGCCGGGAACATTGCTTTATGCTAGAAAGTGTTCAAAATAGTTCAATGCGAGGCTTCAGAAATAAAGAACTTTCTAGTGATCAAGTGATCCGCGGTGTGCTGTGCGAAGGAGGGGCCACCATAGAAAGGGAAGTTGTGGGAGAGGTGGATTGTGAGCTGGAGCGCCAGGAGGCAGCTGTTGAAACCACTGAGCACAATGGCAAGGGTGACAAGGACGGCTGCTGAAGAGCTAACAGGATGTCCTGAGTGTGTCTCTAGAAGGCAACGGAGCTCTGATTCCCAGGCTGGGCTTGAGCCCAGGAGGGATTGATCAGAAGAGCTAACAGGATGTTCTGGGTCTGTCTCAAGAAGGCAACGGAGCTCTGATTCCCAGGCTGGGCTTGAGCACAGGAGAGATTGATCAGAAGAACTACCAGGATGTTCTGTGTCTGTCTCAAGAAGGCAACGTAGCTCTGATTCACAGGCTGGGCTTGAGCACAGGAGCGATTGATCAGTGGAGGCGGAAGAATGGTTGTCTGGAGGAAACAATGAGCCTAAGGACATAGAATGACTCCTTTTCCTTTTCCTTTAAGAGGACGAGAAACAGTCTGTATGCCAGATGAGGTCTAGAGTCTCCTGGATTGTGCATCAGTTTTGAGGCTGAAGATTACCATGGCTTTGAGAATGAAACAGTACCGAGAATAACACTATTTTTATATCTCTTCTGATAGCCTACACTTTAGGTTCTCTTAATAACCTAGAAAAACTGATCCTTCCTACTGGAGATGGGATTTATCAAGTGGCTAAACTGATCATCCAGCAATGCCAGCAGCTACGATGTCTCCAAGGTCTCTCATTTTTCCAGACGTTGAATGACGACAGCGTGATGGAGATTGGTGAGCTACCCTTTGATAAAGTGTTTCTGTTCACACACCAGTGGTATTGTCCAAGCTTTCTACTCCAGACGCTGAGGTCTACAATACATCTATTTAAAACGCATTTTCCTTTTAAAGCATGTCTTCTTCCAACTCAGTTCTTTATTTGCATGGCGTGTTTCCCCGCTCTGAGTCCTGTGGATTCACAAGGCCCAATCTGCAAGATGGCTTCCTAGACGAGAGTCTACATGCTCAAGTCTGTGTCCTTGACCGAGCTGCATTCCAGACAGCTTGCTGCACTCTCAAAGCACAACTTTTTGTAGTAGTTTTTAAAGTTGAAGATTACAATATGTCCAAGTGCATAAATCATAAAGGATAAAGGTACAGCTCAAGTAATTTTCTCGTGAACATATCTTTGTAATACTCACCAGATTAGAATGAAGAGCATGACCAACGGCGCAGACAACTTCCGGGTGTCCCCTCTGCCACTGCTGTCCTCCTCTTCCCCAGGTGGCCATCAGTTAGCTTCCTAGAACCAGAGGTTCATTTTGTCTGCTTTAGCGCCTGCACAGCATGTACTGTTTTGTGTCTGGCTTTTTTGCTTAACATTATATTTGGGATCTTCAGTCACACTGATGTATTTAGTTAATGTCCATTGATTTATTTAATGTCATTGTTTTTAGGTGCAAGTTTGCACAGTAAATGAGGGTCCTGATTAACAATCTTTATACAGATTATTCTGAGACACAGGCTATAATTTTCAAAATGTGTCACATTTTCATGAATTCCAGCCTGTTCTATGTTGATGGGTATAGATCGATAAGCGTCCGTGTCCTTCTTTGCCTTCTCATCTTGCTGTTGTGTAGACGTCGACCATTTGGTCTTGTGTAGCCAATTGTTTAAGGGACACAATACTCATGGGTGATATTGTTTATTTTATAATATAATCTATTGTTTGACTGAAAGGTGATCTCTAGGGATAGTTTCAGTTCCCGGTTTTGTTTTATTATTTTATTTTTTTCCAGGTTTTAAAAGTATCTTCGGGTGATAGACTTGAGGTTCCCCAAGTCTCTATTACTACAATAAGTGGTCTGGTCTTTTTTACGGAGTGAGTTTGGTTCTACATCTTTCTCTCGATCCAAGCTGGACCTGGTCAGAATGATCAGTAGTGGTAGCTAGGTACTTCTAGTTCTTCTCACCTCCGGGTGTAAGAGGCTCTGGTTCATGTGAGCTGTGAGTCCTGAGGACTAGTTTCTTCCTTGAGTTTTGGGTTTCCTTCATTCTCCTTTGCTCTAGATGAGTTGAGAACAACAGTGTATCGTAGGTGGCTGCTCACAGACTTCCAAGACCCCAGGTTCTCTGCACCAAACGAGAGTGTAGAACGTTAACCTTGTTATGCCAACTGGTTAAGGTATTGCACAGAATGATAGTCCCAAGTCCTTCAACCTAGTAAACCAACTCCACAAGTTTATATATGTCTAGGGAAGTCTATAACTGTGCATCATTTTATCTATGGATATACATGTATATGTAGCATACACATATTTACATATTCTTTTAGATACACCTATAGCTACACATGATGCACTCAAAGATGCCTTCCTGTCGACATATATAGGTGCCCTGGTGGTGTAGTGGTTACATGGTGGGCTGATAACCTCAAGGTCAGCAGTTCCAAACCACCAACCGCTTTTTGGGAGAAAGATGACATTTTCTACTTCCATAAATAATTAGTCTTGGAAACCCATGGGGTGAATTATATCCTGTCCTATAGGGTTGCTTTGAATTGTAATAGAGTCGATGGCTGTGAGTGATAAACATATATACAAACACATCTGCCCATATAACCACATACATATTTTTATTGTTGTTGTTGTTGAAAAGTTGAATCTGTTATTGTTAGGTGCCATCAGGTCAGTTCCAACCCACAGCGATCGTACGCACAACAGAACGAAACACCGCCCTGTCCTACATCCTCACAATTGTGCCTGTGCTCCAGCCCGTTGTTGTCGCTATTGTGTCAATTCAACTTGAGGGCCTTCCTCTTTTTCCCCTCCCTTCGACTTTTCCAAGCAGGCTGTCCTTCCCTAGGGACTGGTCTCTCCTGACAACACGTCCAAAGTGTGTCAGATGAAGTCTCACCATCTTTGCCTCTAAGGAGCACTCTGGTTGTACTTCTTCCAAGACAGAGCTGTTTGTTCTTTTGCCAGTTTATGGTATTTTCAGTATTCTTCACCAGCACCATAATTCAAATGCAATGATTTTTCTTTGGTCTTTATTCAATGTCCAACTTTCACATGTATATGATGCAATAGAGAAGACCAGGGCTTGGGTCAGGTGCACCTTAGTCCTCAAAGTACCATCCTTGCTTCTCAATACTTTAAAGAGGTCTTGTGCAGCAGCTTGGCCCAATGCAATGCGTTGTTCAATATCTCAACTGCTGCTTCCATGGGCATTGCTTGTGGATCCAAGCAAGATGAAATCTTTGACAACTTCAATCTTTTCTCCATTGATCATTTACTGGTTCAGTTTGAGGATTTTGGTCTTTACTGAGTTGTAATTTATAATGAAAGCTGTAATCCTTGATCTTTGTCAGCAAGTGTTTCAAGTCTTCATTTTCATCAAGGAAAGTTGTCATGTGCATGTCACAGGTTGTTCATAAGCCTTCCTCCATTCCTGATGCCACAGTCTCCCCCATAAAACCCAGCTTCCCTGATTATTTGTTCAGCATACAGATTGAATAAGTATGGTAAGGGGTTCAACCCTTGACACACACCTTTCGATTTTAAACCATGCAATATACCCTTGTCCTGTTCAGACAACTGCCATGATCCACGTATGAACGAATTCCACATGAGCACAGTGAAGTATTCTAGAATTCCCAATCTTCTCAAGGCTACAAGAAATGAGAGGGTAATTTATTATAGTTTTGATTCGCATCCTTCTAATAGTTAAAGATCACAAGCATCATTTCACGTTAGCTATCAGAATGCCTTCTTTGGTCCAGTGTGTCTGTTCATGTTTGAATGGAATGAGCATTGATGGTCTGCTCCATGTTCAACCCCTGGCCTCGTTTTACCTAATGATATTGAGCTTCTCCACCATCTCATCCCACAGATATAATGAATTTGACTCCATTGTATCTTGTCTGGCAAAGTTCACGTGTATAGTCAGTCACCCTTTATGTTGCTGAAATGAAATATTTGCAATGAAGTTGTTGGGCTTGCAAAATTCTATCATGCTGATACTTCCTTGGTTTCAAACTTTCGTATTCCTCTGGCTCATTTCTTTTTTCCCCCCATTTCTCTTTCCATATGGGAGTTATTTTTAAAATACTATATATAAATGTATATACTACATTGGGCATATCCTATGCTTTATGGTGGTGGTGGAAGAGTAGGCTGGTTGAAATAACTTTGTCTGCCGTTATTGAACTAGAAGTCCGTATGACTCCAATTTCATAAATTCTTTGTTTTTATAGCCAAGGCAGCAAACAATGGAGGTTTCCAGAAACTTAAGAGCCTAAATCTTTCAATCAATCACAAGATCACAGAGGAGGGATATAAGACTTTCTTTCAAGAACTGGATAACCTGCCAAGCTTGCAGAAATTGAATATCTTGAGGCATTTCACAGAGTGTATCAAATCTCTCGCTCCAACAGTCAAGGCTTTGAGCCAGTGTGTGTCAAGACTGCCAAACCTCCTCAAACTTGACATGTATGGTTGGCTCCTGGATGCAGAAGACATCGCCTTGCTGGATGCCGTGAAGGAAAGACACCCTCAATCTAAATGTTTAGTTATTTCCTGGAAATGGAAGCTGCCATTTTCTCCAATCATTCAAAAGTAGAATATAAATGGTTCTAAAGCTAAAAACTGCTGAAACAATTCCAAGCACTTAATTTTCCAAAATCATTTTATTACATATTACATACAAAAGATAAATGATAAAATGTGTAAAGCACATTCTCCTACTATTAATAGAAAACCCTGCATACTCAATTACTCAGCTTAATACAGCATTACCTTTGAAGTTACTGAACCATTCTCCCCAACTAAAAATTGGCCCCGTCAACTTTATATAGCTAAGCCTTCATCACTAGGGTCAAGTACCAAGTTTTCAAATTAACGATGGTAACAATAGTAACAAAGTCACCAAGGAGGGGTTGGGGAGAGGAGCACTGATCTATCGCAAAGCAATAATATGGAAAATGTGCTCAAGTTATACCTGAGATGACTAAAGACAAATGAATTTCATATATAGATGAAAGGGGAGTTGACCTTAACATAGGGTTACATGATTCATTTGTGGAGTAAGAGAGATATTCCTTAGTCTTAAAAAGACTGGCTTTGTATATTTAATTAACTGCGATACACTAAGATTTGCTTATTTTCCCTTAATGCTATGCCAATATAAAAAAGGAATAGGTCTTAGGGAGAGATGCATTTTTCTAGGGACTTTTGATTTTATCCAAATGTTTAACATTATTATACAGTTAAACATGTTAAAGTCGAAACTTGTGTAAAGTAGAAAGCAGTCAAAGAAAAAAAATGCAAATATTTTCCACCAAAAAGAGAGAGAAGTGGTTGGACTGCAACCTGTCAGAGGGGAAGCTGGTCAGGCCAGCAAACACAGCAGGCCCATCAAGTTTGGACCTTCATTGCAACCGCATAAAATACAAAGTAGAATTTAGCATTACCGAAATGTCTCTGCTTCCCAGAGAATTGAGTATTAATGCATTTTTATGCAACTCTGTTTGCTTGTGAGTTCAATGTATGCTTTATTGTCATTAGAATTTTATGACCCATGAAAAACATATTTTTTTTCTCTTCAATAACTTCATATTGATCAAGGTAGATTTGACACATCTAGATGCATGTGTACGCCCAGAATTTCTCTCCTACTAGTTAAAAAGCAGTTTTCTAAAGATGAAGAGACAATTCTAAATTCATGATGCTATGATCAGTTGCAAAGCAACGAGTTTTAACCTAATGTTTATTTTTGCCAAGGAAAAAGTCCATTGTGCTCAGCTAACCCCTAAGTATGAAACATAACTATTTGTTAAACACAAGTTTGTAGCTACATTAGGATTTTCTAGGAGATGTGAGAACATTTTAACAGGGTTACTAGAAGATATTTTTACTTTTTTTTGGCTTTTCTGCTGTCTTTGATTTTATGAGTGCCTGTACTATTCTTATATTTAAAATAAAATGTAAAACTGCTTTCACTAAAACATTGTAGTTTTAAATTAAAAGTGGCAAGGAGGAGTGGGGGGGCCAGCCCCCACCCGCTGATTGCGGGCTCAGTAATACTACCTCTGGGTTCAGTAATGCACAATTGTACGGTTGAGATATATAAGCATTATATTAAAGTCATCGAGAGCATGAGAGATATTACAATAATGCAGTCAGACACGGTACACAGTAGCATTGCTCACCTCAGCCCAGCTTGGTGGTCCACGTGGAGAGAGGAGGAAGGGAAGGAGGGTGAGGGAACAAGGGAGAGGGGGAATAGAGGGGAGTGACCAGGGAGTGAGCAGCAAGGAGGTCAGAGCGCTCTATATTGCTGACTCACGCCTATATACCTTTTGGGGGCAAGCCAGCCCACTAATTACAGGTAGAGACATACATCACAGGGAGGAGCTGCACTATGGGTTACACAGCAATGAGTGGGTGGTCTAGGGGTTGGTCTCTGGGTCTCCATAGGAACCATTATCAGTAGGGTGCAAGCCCCTCCTACAGGAGCCTGTCCATTGTCCCCAGAGGCAGGGAGCAGGCCCACCTGTGGTGGGATGAGACAGCAGTCTGGCAACTGATTGCCCTCAGGGGAGGGAATGCCTGTGCATCTGATATCCCCCCACAAAACATGAATGGGGACTCCAGGAGGATGGGGTTGGGAGAAGGGGAGATAGGGGTGTCTTCTGGCTTGCCTGGCTACGTATGTAACACTTTTGTCATCAGAACGGTTTCTATTATATCAGATTCCAACCAGGATACAGAAACCAGAAAGTAACTTGACTAGCACAAATTGAATCTAAAGGATTGACTGTGACAGAGAGTTAGCATAGTGGAGATTGGAATATTAATGCTCTAGATAGAGGAACAACCAACAACCCTAGACGGACAGAGGACCCCAGAAAGGAGCCACGCCAGCAGTCACTGGAGCCACAGAAAGGGTCACTGGCGCCGTGGCCTGAGATGCTGCAGGGAGATCTTCATAGGAGGTGCAGGGAGCTGCTGAAACTGGACACTGTGGAGCCAGCCACATGCACCACAGAGCTGGGTGCTGCAGAAGGCCCATGAGCTACCCAGAGGCACTCATTGGAGCAAGAAAGAGAAGGCCCTTGTTTCTCCAGTATGTGCCAGAGTGCCTCCTACGGACAAAACTTCACAGAGATACATCATTGAAGGGGAGGCAATGAAGGATTTGGAGAGATTTAGCAAACTGAAAACTGGTACAAGTATAACATTCAATAGTGTAAAACTAAACAAAAAAGAACCTAAATTTATTAAATTCGAATGACATAATTACTTGTTATACATTCATAGAAAACTTTAAAAGTGATACTTGTAAACAATAATTAAACTTTGGGGAAGAGAACAGGGCAGCTGGTGGACAGGGTGAAAGGAGTTTGCTTTTTTTCTCCCACATACTTTAGTATCATGTGCATGTACTATTAAAAAGAATCACTTTAAAACTAATAGGGCTCTGTGGAAATCATTTGCATGAGTGTCAGTTCAGGGCTTTTACTACGGAGTAAGGTCAGCAAAGATACTATGGCTCACAGGCCTGTCTGTACACAGCTGTTGTGCTGAGTAGTTTTTACATTTTTAAAGAGTTAAAAAAAATGCAGCACTTTCTTTTGGATTGAGGTTTTCCTGTCTTTGTTATTATTTGTTGTTGTTGTAGGTTTTTCTGTCTATGAAATCCGGGAGGAAAATCTCTAGAGACAGACTGGATGAATGCTTCCTTGGGGGTCTGGCAGGGGCGGCTGGGAGGGAAATAAAGAAGTAATAACACTGAGTACAAGAAAGAAGGAAATGTTCTAAAGTTGATTGTTGTGGTGATTGTACAGCTCTTCTTCATATGATTGACCTATTGAATTTATTATGTGTGAATTATATGACAATAAAACTGTTAAAAAAATTGATGTGTCTATGGATTGAGATAACAGTTGTATGAGCCCCTAATAAAATGTTTAAAAAATAAAATAAAATAAAATGAAGGTGTATCAAATGTCTTATCCAAATATAAGTAACAGAAACCCAGTACAATGAGAAAGTGGCACAGAGGCCACATCTGAGCTTTTGGCTACACCAGGGAGGAGAATCCAACTCCACACCAGCCCAGGGCCAAGTGCCACAGGGCAGAAGTCTGACACGGTCCCACCCTCCATCCTCTTTTACGCTCTCTGACACCAACCATTTCCCCCACAGCACTCTGCTTCTTTGCTGGAAGCCATAATCCACTGCAATGGCCACACCATACTGAAAGACAATACTCACAATTATGGGGCTTTAAGAGGGAAGCTAAACAAGTTCAGATCAGAGAACAGGAAGGATGTAGTCAGTGGTTCACTGCAGGGCTTCTCAGCCAGCAGTCACCTCTCTCTGGTCCTGTCTCTCAGCCACAAGGTCCCTTGGTCTCTACCTCATAGGCCTGAGAGCTGGCTGGCCACTTCACCTCACTGCCTTACAGGCTCAACAGCGTGGCCCCTCTGCTCTCTCCGCCACTTTAGTCAGTGGTCTCAGAAGTGCTCCTCTGGTGGCTGCTCTTGATGGTGCCAGGATTGTTCCTGCTTCTGCGATGACTCACACAACATTGGCCAATCTCCTCTACTCATTTCCTACACTACAGGGTCCCATCCAATCATTTGGTGGGAAGTAGAGACATGGAAGAGCCACATTTAAGCAATTTTATCTCGCCACATACAGAACTTGCCCATATGCACTGACTTTAACTATCCTCTTTCACATGCGCATTCCATCACAAGTGCCCTCATCGTCACCAATGACACCCCATTACCCAATTCAATAAATGCTTGTTTTCATCTTGTCATTCTAGGATTTAATATTCCTCCTCCTGCACTTGGCTCTAGGACATGCCTCCTGCCTGTCCAGACTCGAGTGGCTCCGTACTCTTCTTTGCCACTTGTCCCCATACCTGTGATCTCTCAACACTGCAAGTACTCGAGAGATTTTTCCTCTGAACTTTTCTATTTTCACACCCAAGGCTGTCTCATCTCATTGAATGCCTTTAAATTCTACTTCTAAATTTTCATCTCTGGCTCACGTCTTTGCCTCTGACCTCCTGACTCATAAAGAAGTTCATGAATCCTTTTATAAGTAGCTTGATTAAATTTAACTTAGTATTTGTTTTATTAGATGGTTCTGCCTACCTGGGACTAAATGTTTGCTCTAACAAGCTCGTTAACTGGGTATTTTAGTTGCTAGAAGCCACAAATAACTAAGTGAATGTTCTCTTTGGCTAGGATGTGGAATACATCTGAAGAAGAGTGTTTTTGTTAACACACATTGTTGTCAAATGGCCTTAAGAAATGGTCCTTTCATAAGGATATAGAAACAAAGTCTCAAGAAAAAAAGCCTTTTATTTGTCTAGTCTCCTAGATAACCATGAAGGT